TATGTATGTATGTACATGTACATGCATATGTCCCGCAGAATTGTTGAAAGTTGTTGTTAAGAATATCCATCACCTGTTAGTTTCAGCTGTTTAACTCCCTGTGTTGACGAGCTTAGAGTTTCAAGGTTGAGTCTGGAGCTAGTCACTGTCTCGTCTCCGGATGTGGCGACAGGTGTGCTACCGAACCGCACGGGAGACATTCAAGCAATTTGCCAATGGATCTTCATGCGTGGCAACTTTTCCGCAGTCAGCTTTTCCAAATGTGGTGATTCACACTTGCAAGTCTTTTTCTGCTGAGCATTAAACCCTAAACCCCCAAAGCCCTAAACCCAAAGCCCCAAGCCCTAAACTGAGCATGAAGAATGCAAGGAACAGGGCTGGAGCATCGTGCAGGATCCGGAGCAGTGCGCCAGGGCTGCCAACGCCTTGGGCCTAAGGTGCTTGGCCAAGGAGCAGGGTTTAGGGTTTAGGGAAAGTTTAGGGTTTAGGGTTTAGGGTTTAGGGTTGTTGCATTTTTTTCAGAATCGTTTTGCTCATGACGTGTGCATGTGGGAGTTTCAGACAGCCTTGCCCCAAAACGGGAGGGGGCCACTGAGCTTAAGACATCCCGACACCAGAAACCCCTAAATCCCCATGTATGCTAAGCTTTTGCAGCCTTGCGAGGAGGCCAACACTCCACGATGCAGGAGCAAGCCTTCGTCGGACCCGACCCTCCCGGCAGGTCGGGAGGGAAGCGAATACGAAACTGTCCCCGATTCGACTAGGATTCCGTTAAGACTTCCTAGAAGTGTTCGAATGTAGGGGGCTTTAATGATTCGAACATAGGGTTTCGCGGTATCTTCTACGGTCGATTTTTTTGGGGGGACCCCTGAGGTTGCTACGGAGACACGTTCCTAGAGTTCAACCCCTACCTGGAGAGCAACGAGTCTTTCGTTGGCCAGACAAGCAGCTTGGGCAACTGGGCTGGCTTTATACAATGTATTGATAAATTATGCTGTGGTATGATAAACTATTATGAATATATACGTACTAGAATATAGTCTAATGTAAACATGGTAAAATGTAATTCTACTACTATGACATGATACATATTGTTTCAAAATTGGTATATGGAATCAGAATGTATTATACTACAGTTGCTAATATCATACTACATGATAAGGTACTTTCATGGAATGTAACAGACTATATCTTGTTTAAGATATCAGAAACGAGGTTCTGAGATCCCAATCAAAAAAGAACCGTGTAGCCAGTGAGCAAAGGAAAATGCTCGGAGTCCATACACAACAAAGTCAACAAAAATGCGATGCGAACCACAAGGCATATTAGTCGGTAGAGCTTCTGTGTGCTTTGAGGATTTTGGAAGTGGGTCGGAGGTGAATCAAAGGTCTTAAGTAGGAGTCCCAGAAGATAAATGGAGAGAGAAAGGAACGAAGGCCCAGCCAGGTTGCCAAATTTGGGGCCTTTTCAAGATCCGGGGCTCGGGCATTGGAGCTCTCTTCTTGGAAGCAGATGAGTCAGGAGGTCTGGGCATGTCGCATCGAGCGCATATGCTCTATGGGCTTAGATGAACGTGTGCATAAGCAGCGCCGACGCGAACACCCAGTGATATGATTTGTGAACAGGGCTGGCAGATTCATGAGTAGGGGAAATGCAGATGTTTCTTACTCTGTCGATGTATCTGGTTCGCTGGAGTTTTGAAAAGCTGAGACTATGCTCACAGTACAGAAGCCTATCGCAGCGCATCTTTTGCACGCGACGATTTCACGTAAAGATCCAACATGCGCTACTCGCACCAGCATCCAATCAGTTCGTCCGAGCCTTCAAAGTGAAATTCTCCGACTTACTGGGGAGGAGGACCCTTGAAATTGGAATTTCTCAAAGTGTCTTGCCGCAACACAGAAGCCTACAAGCTAGCGTTCCCTGGACCCCCTGCCCTAAACCCTAAGCCCTAAACCCTAAGCCCTAAACCCTAAACCCTAAACCCCTAAACCCTAAACCCTAAACTCCCTAAACCCTAAACCCTAAACCAAACACATGAAAGCCACTGCAAAAGTGCGAGAAGAGCAGCGAGGCTACGTCTGCGTCCGAGTCCTGGAAAGCGAGGAGTACGACGTTCCGCGCGTGTGTGCTGACGGCCAGCTGCAGGCCGGGGGCCCTTTCCTCTTCCAGAGCCTTAGCTCAGAAAACTACTTGTCAGTACCGGTGTTCCGGTTATTTGGGGGTAACATACATATCAGACCCAAAATTTCCAGTTGACTCAGGAGGAAGATGGGAAGGACCGACGCAGCTGAGATGTCATGTGCTGCAGCCTGCTTTGCCAGCGGGGGTGTGGCTTTTGACATCGCCTTCGCCAACACCCGCGACAGCTGTCGCTGCGTCGGCTCTGTGGGCGCACAGAACCCGTCGGACGATCCGGGCAGAGGTAAGAAGCGGCGCTACTGTGCTAGGCCCGCACCTTCTGCAAGCTGCGCGGCTGGAGAGGCTCCAAATGTGGCCGCGGAAGATCTTCTCTTCGAAACGAGCTGGACCGACGAGAAGCTCTGTGCGGGAGCTTGCCATGCTGCAGCGTCGGACCCAAGCCTCGTGGCCTTCCAGGTAGATTCAGAGGAGAGTGAAAGCTCATGCAGATGCTTCTACAAGAATCAGGCTCCAGTCGTGGAGCATCCGACCAGGCAGTACTGCTCCTTCCCAGAAGCTCAGAGAGTGTCGCTACTGCAGATCGAGAACGAGAACATGGCCACAACAAGGAGTCTGGACCAGCAGACGCAGCAGCAAGACATCCCACGTGCCTGCTCCCCAGGGCAGACGCAGCCTTATGGCCCTTACCTCTTTCGCCGCGAGTTGAACAACGAGAAAGAGTGCGCGGAGGCATGCTTCACAGCCGGTGGCGTAGCCTTCGACTACACCTTGAAGCTGAAAGACGACAGCTGCCGCTGCGTGGGCTTGGAGGGCGCCGAGAACCCGCGCAGCAACACGGGCGGGGACAAAAGGATCTACTGTGCAGCTGGGCTTTTGTTAAGGAGTTTAATTTTAAGTTACTATAAAGGAGTTTAATTTAAAGTTACTAGAATAGGGCGAATAGGGGGATCTACAAGTAAATACTATGGTTTCCTTATTATGGTAACTTAAAATAAATCCCTATAGTAAGTTACATGGTTTCCTTAATTATGGTAACTTAAACCAATCCCACCCTAAACCCCGAAACCCTAAACCCCTAAACCCCTAATACACCCTAAACCCCTAAACCCCTAAACCCCTAATCCCCTAATCCCCTAATCCCCTAAACCCTAAACCCTTAACCCTAAACCCCAAAACCCGTAAACCCTAGACCCTAAACCCTGAATTCTTAAACCCCCAAGCCCTAAAGCTCTAAACCCTAACCCCTAAACCCTAACCCCTAAAGCTCAAAACCCGTAAACCCTAAACCCCAAACCCTAAACTCCCCTTTAGAAAGAGCCCAGGCAAAGCCTCAGGGGAGCTCCTGTCGGCTTGGGGAGGTGCCGGAAAGCCCCGAGACGGACTCTCGCTTCCGACTTCTGTGGTGTTTTAGGGTTTAGAGGGGTTTTAGGGGGTTTAGGGGTTTTAGGGGTATTTAGGGGTATTTAGGGGTTTTAGTGGTTTTTATAATAAGGAACCCCCAAAATAGTATTGGTAAGTATTTAGGCCCCGACATTAAAGAGTTGTGCTATGGGGATTCGGGTCTAAGGTTTAGGGTTTAGGGTTTAGAGGAATTTAGGGTTTTACCATGGCCCGTTAGGTAGGACCTCGTTCAGGGTTTTAGGGGTTTTAGGGGTTTAAGGGTATTTAGGGTTTAGGGTATTTAGGGTATTTAGGGTATTTGGGGTATTTAGGGTTTAGGGTATTAGGGGTTCAGGGGTTTAGGGTTTAGGGTATTTAGGGTATTTGGGGGGTTTAGGGGTTTAAGAGTTTAGGGGGTTAGTGTTTATGGGTGTAGGGGTTTAGCGGTTATAGGGTTTAGAAGTTTGTTTCGTCTTGTCTCTCTGTCTTTTCTCCTGGCTTAGGGTCGGCCGAGAAAGCCGACTTTCTTTTCTCGGAAGCCAACTAAACCCAAAACCCTAAACCCTAAACGCCGAGGTTCTGTTTGTGGCCAAGTTTCCCGACGAAGCAGCCTGCGGCGCGCCGCTCGGATCCTGGTTGGATGAACTGGCGACCTGGGAACCGGACTTATAATTTTGGGTTTAGGGTTTAGGGTTTAGGGGGTGACATGGGAACCGGACTTATGATTTTGGGCCTAGCCGGCTAGCATACCGCAAGCGATGCAAAAGAAACTGTCCCGCAGATCCCTCAAACCCTGGATCAAACCCTAAACCCGCCTAAACCCTGTAAACCCGATCCCCTAAACCTGAACCCCTAAACCCTCTAAGCCTGAACCCCTAAACCCCATAAGCCTGAACCCCTCAGCCCTATACACCTGAAGCCTCAGAGACACGGTCTACTGTAGGGTCCATGTAAAGATTTAGGGCTTCCCAGGTTCTGCTGGGCCGCCGGAGGCATCGCCTCGCAGACGGGACGCGTGGTCTTCGACTACACCACTCAAGTCCGAGAAGCTCGGTTCATATAAAATCGCTCCTTTGGGGCTTTCCAGAAATTTTCCGAGCTCTTTCAAGGAGCCTTCTGTGAATTCTAGTGGGGCTTCTTTACAACTCTAAGTGACGGATGCTGGGATGTCTGAAAGAGTAGAGCCCGAGCCCCAGAGGCGCTCTCTTTTGTTGTTTGGTCTGGGAGTTCCCAGACCCCCCAAGGAACTAGTAGATCCCCTAATTTGGGGCCCTTACTACTAAAGGATCTAAAGGGTACTTTATAGGAACCCCCTTAAGGATCTACTTTTTGGATCCTGCCGGGGGTCTGGGTTAGTGTGAACTAAGCAGCCCATGCCCGCTCACTACATGCCCAGAAAGACAGCTGCCGCTGCGTGGTGCCGGGGCAAGCGCTGACAAGACGGCCGGGAGGTGGAAGACGCCCCTCAGCTGAAGTGAAGTCCAACCTCCGCTTCCCGGGCCAAAAGTGGTTATATGGGACTTTCCGAAAATTAGGGTACGGGGTCCTTATAATAAGGATCCTATTATTTGGGGTACTATATTAGGGTCCCCTATTTTCGGAAACCCCCATATGGCTCATGAGACAAACCCGAGCTGAGGCATGCTTTGCAGGTTCAATGACGTGTTGTCGCCATTTTGCGGCGCGACTGGCTGCAGTGTGGGCTACGACGGTGATTTCATGCAGTTCAACCGTGGATCAGATGTCTCGTTCCAACCGCGCTTCTTCCTGCGGGCGCCGCCGGGACTCAGCAAGGACGGCACCTGCGTCTACTTCGGAGACAGAGTTGTCATCGCGGCATCTGCAGATCCAGCCGAGACGGACTGCGGCTGGTATGGGCGCGGCCCTCAGTCCTCCGCGCACAAAGCTGGTTCTGCTTACAACAGAACTGGAAAGGTTGTAATGTAGGAGCCGTAATGATTAGAATAGGGTTGCGGGGCCCATTATGCTATAATAACGATCATAATAAGGAACCCCCAAAACCCTGTTCTAATTATTAAGGCCCCTATACTACAGAGACCCCTAACTTTTGATTGACCCTTACATGCCTGCACAGTCCAACGGCCCAAAAGGATCGAATTCGTAGTGGTTCTAGGTTAATTCTCCAAACCTTTTTGAGGCTTTAGGGTTCATAAAGGTTCTGGGGACTCGGGGCTCTGGTTCGGTGGTTTTTTGCCTTTGCCTCTCTGCTTCTGCTTTTTGTTGCTGCTCTCGGATGTTTGAGGTGTAAGGTGGCCGGCGTCACCGAGGAGAGCGTGTCAGCTTTGGTCTTCAGGGGCCGGTAGCCGCGGATTTTTGGGGTTGTGAAGACTAAGTAGACTACTCTGGGTTCCCAGAAGCATGGGCAGCAGGGCAGCTTCAGCCCGCAGCATGCAACTGTTTAGGGTTTAGGGCTTTAGGGTTTAGGGTTTAGGCTCTAGAAGGCCCTGCACCACAGGAGCTATAGGTAAGGCCACCCCCCCCAAGAAGCCCCCCAAAAGGAGGGCGCGATGGCCTTCCAGGCCGGAGGCCAAAGCCCCACGCTTTTCTACCTGCGCCCGGCTCTGGCGGAGTCGGGCTCCTACGACGATCCATCCAGAGACTCCCAGCTCTGAGCGCCGTCTTGGCCTTTTTGGGGACCTCCTCACAAGCTCCACAGTAGTTCCTTGAAATCTTGTGGTTTCTATTTAGGATCCGAGAAGGCAACCCCAAAAAGGAACTACTTTGGAGCCTATTGGTCTCTAGCGGCCGGTAGGGTTTTAAAACGAGCGCAGGGTCCTTGCGGGGAATTGAATTGGGGGACGTGGGCTCCTAGGATTCAACCTGAAGCTACGGGGCTTTAGGTCCTGCGCTCGGCCTTTTTGTGAAGTTTTGTAGGGACGGTGCTGCAGAAGATTGAGGCGAAAGCCCGCTCTGGCAGCCCTGTCCTTTCCTCGTGCTTTCCTGGAAAGCTTATAGTGACCTAGTGTAGACCCCTGATTGGACAGCCGCCCCTCCCTTCAGATAGATCTTGATCGGGGTCCCTGCATCACGGTCCTTTGAGAAAGGGGTTTTTAAGTCCAGGGCCTACATTTATAGTTTATAGCTCCTTTAATCATGTCTCCGAAGGAGACGAACATGCGCGGCAGGCCGCATTCAGGCTCTGCATTGCCGAAAATGTTCGCAGCTGCTTCTGGCCCCCGTTTAGATGCAAGGGTTCTCGGTTGTAGTGTCTACCCTCCAGAAGCTCGCTGAGCCCATATGGGCAGCCACAGCTTCAACCTGATGCCACTGATCTGCGTTGCTTCTCGTTCGTCGTGTCTCGAGGAATGCAGGGTTGAAAGTGCAAGTCGAGCATTGAGACCAGAGTTGCAACCAAAGCGGACGACAATAGACTGAAGCTGCAAAGGTCCAAGCGTGGACTTACGTAAGTGACTTAAGCATGGAGCGTTAGACACTCAAGGCCCATGAAGCAACTTCTCAGGCTGCCTGCCTCTCTTCTAAGCCTAGAATCCCGAAGGACATGTTCTTGAATGAAGTATCCGGATTTGGATTCAGGCTAAATCTTCCCGATTACTTTTGAGAGATCATAGGTACCGTTGAATTGGGATTCGGAGAGTGGTGTTGTGCTGACTTAGAACCCAGATTCCAGTAAACTGGGTTCTTGTTAGGGATTTAATGTAAGTGACCATCATAAAGAAGCCATATTATGTACTATAGATCC